AGCAACTGCAACTAATTTTCATAGTATCTCTAGTGAAAATGAAAAATGCTATAACATTCCTTCGATCTTTTGTTTTCCTTCTTAGTACAAAATTCGGATGTATGGAAAATCGAATAATTTTAGGGTAGTTTCTTTGATTCATTAAAATATTCTATATTACAACTGGTGCTATATTGGAGCCTACAGAGTTCAAAGGGTTAATGAGAAAGTTGTGTTGATCACAGTTGAGAAATAAATCATAGGGCAAGGGGTTAAAATTGTATCAGTGTCTGAATCTGTTCGTGGCCGACTGTAAGTATACATATGCATATACATATATATATATACAATGGAGTAGACAATACGACATACGGTGCGCAGTGACATCCTACGGATGCTGCGGTCATTACTCCCGAAGTTCGCGTCTTTTTATCGCCGATGCAACCGAGCGATGCTCCCGCATTATTTTCCTGTACTCTTCCTCGTGACTTACAAGCAGGTATATAGACTGGGGATCTTGACGCATTTATAGCGAATGCCGGTGAATAAAGCTCTTAAAATTTAATACAGATTTAATATTCTTCTTTACTCGGCGAAAGAGTTTATCGAATTAGAAAGATCCCGTCGAATGACCGTTTTCATCGCTTAACCCTTAAAAACGGTAGCCTGCGTCAAGATCCGTGGTCTACTTATCGCATCTTATACATTCGAATTGTGTGGCTCTTCCTACCTTGGCGCAGTGGTTTCATGGCGTCGGGATGCTGTAGATCGAGAGCCCCGGATCGATGACCGGAATTTTGACAGCTCATGGGTAGTATTTGCAGACAGAATAGTATCCAAAGGCGGTTAATCCATAGGTACTTTGCACACACACACACACACACGCGCGCGCGCATGCACGCATACACACTCGCGGAAATAGACAACGGGACGTTTACAGCGCGATACTTTAACCGAACGCGAAAATTCCCGAGAGCAAAGTGGGTGACCGTTAACGCGTCGCCATGTTTTTTTTCTCTTCGTTCGCGTTCGCGATCTATTCGAAGATTCGAAGCACGCCACCCCCTCCACGGTCCCACTCGTTACGTCATCTTCCAACGGTCGTTAGGTTCGATTTATGAAGTTACCGTAATTACGTCTCTATTAGACAGCAATATACATATCAAAAGGATGACAGCGAATAAGGAAAACAGCGGGAGATATTTATTGCAAGATATGTGTAAGAAGCAAGATTTAATGGTATCGTGCTATGTCTGTCGTTACGATACCGAGCCGCAGCTTTCGTTCGGACGCGTCCATGTTTAGATAGGCATCATATATGTAATACATATAATGTTATCGCATCGTATATCATTAATTGTGCATTTCTCGGGGTATTGTGAAAGAAAGTAGCTCAAGATTTATAAGTGAAGTGAAAGCTATACGGCGGCAATCAATCTCCATCGCGACCGAACAAAAGTGTTCGACTGAAATGCCGAACAATGGAGACGCCCACATTGCGATTTGCGAATTTCGTCCCGTCTACCCGAATACGCGATGGAACAGTGGAAATAATATGCTCGCCGTGACCCCTGACGCTCGGGCTATCTTTCGGTTACAAATTATACCTTGGATGTCTTCTAATTCCGGGGACGTGGAAAGGGTTGCGTAATTGGAAAACCATAACGGCGATGTCACCCGCGACGATCCGAGAAGACTGACCGCTGGAGTCAACATGGCAACTAAACCGGACGTTACGAGTAATTATACTAGAAATAAGTGAATTCTCGAAAAAATGATTAAATCCCGTCGCGAAACGTTCGTAAGCATCGGAAAATAATTTAGAATTAAATCCCGCGCCAGTAGTTCTTCTAATTATACCATTAATTGGATAATATTTTCTTCTCTTTTTCCCGCTTACCGGAAGTTATAAAGTATCGGTCAAAAAATCATTTTCTACGCGCAGTTGATTAGCGCAACAGGCAGCCGCGCACCGCGCGCGAATTTGGCATATCGTTTGAACGGGTCGAGAACGGCGGTGATTTGTTCCGTACGGGAATACGTGAAAAGGAGGAAAAGTTGTTTAATCCTCCTTGACGTTCGCAAGTAGGTTTCCTCGTACTCTTGATCAATAACCTTCCGCGACTGATTGTGTATTTATTAATGGACACATAATTTACATGGAAATCCGTCCGGGGAGTTGGCAACGTTTGAGGAAGGTTCGAATCGCGTGTCAAAGATTCTGTCGGATTGTAGGTCCTCAGGTATACAAAGTATTAGCAGTACAAATTCCTAAAGGCCGGTCACCGACACTCTGTAATGTTTATCGTGGTTACTTAATACTCTGGGAGAGCATTGGCAAACAATGTATGGTTGAATGGACAACCGTTTATGGGTTTTTCCAAAGCGAGGTAACCCTTGGAGTGACCACTGCTCCCCCCCTCCGCCCCTCTCGCTCTTTATCCTTCTGCAAATCGCAACACTGTCGAACTCTCCAAGCTTGAAAGAACAAAGAGCGCCGAAGAAAGGGTCTGCGTAAAGTGTCATTAATTCTCTGATTGGGACATTCTGATGCCTGCGAGCAGGTAGTCGACAGGAATAGGAGGAAGGGTTTCGGTGACAACGGTCAACACTTGTCCGACGGCGCGTTTCAAGCACTTTATTACACGCTGTACGTTGCCGGGCGATATTTTAAAGTAGTTCCAACAGAACAACCTATTATTTTATAGAACTCGCACCGAGGATGATCGTAAAAATATTACGATTAATCGTCCGCGGACATTGCGTTGGTTGATATTTTATTGCTCGCCGGAGCAAAGAGTTCATTCGACCACCTTAATCTCGACTACGTACTTGTATTATAAGCGTTGTGCGAATGATTAGGAAAATGCTTTCGGGGTTTCGTCGAAGATCAAGATTTCTTTTCTAGCGAGCAGCGCCCCGGTATACTGCGTCGTATATCAATTTATACGTGAATGGGGCATAAAAAATATGTAACGTAGATTTTTATTGGGGGTCGTTCTCGTACCTGTACGGTGACCTATTATTCAATCAGCCGCGGCTATCAGAGGAATTATCGCGAGATGTCGCCTAGATTTGCAAGATACGTGTGCACAAGTACACGTGGTACGTGGATCGGGACATGTGCGATGGCCGTGCAACTCGTTGCACGAGAGTTCACTATCTCTCACTCAATTTGAGCCTCATCCGCCGTAAGCGGATCGACCAGGCTGGCCTTTTAACGTCGGATAGTCTCGCCTCTCCTGGCTGTAGAGCATAGACGCCTATAACAAACATTATCCGCCATAATGCCCTCGTGTAAACATACCTAGCAACGTGCATCGTCCTTCTCTCCTCTCCTCGTTTCATCTTTTTCCGACGCAATGCGTCCCCCCGTTTTCCTTTCTTTCTTTCTTTCTCGCTATCTCTCCCCTTCTGTCTCTCTGTCCATGGTCCATCGACCGAATAAAAACTTGAAAGTTTATTTAGCCGTTTAACGTCTGCCGGCAAGTTAAGTTTTTCGGATAAGCCGCCTTTTTAGCATGGTCCCCATTTCCCATCGTTCTCTTCCGGTTTAGCACGCGCCGTTGCACGATTGTAATTCGCTACTCGTGTTGTACCATTTCCTCGTATTAAATTCCGCGAAGATGGTCGTATCGCGAAAAGCGAACGCATTCAACATTGATCAAACCTGTATAGAAGCATCGCGCGGACAAGGTTGTCGAACCGAAAACGCGTCTTGCGACACGGGTAACGAGTTTGAATCTGACGCCAAGTAGAATAAAGTAAATTGATTTGCACAAGAGAAATCGAGCGCCGTGGGTGTACGAAAAATCGAATTTAGCCTGTTCGTATTCGCTGGTTTTCCAAGGTCCCGGTTGAGATTTCCTCGGTTTTGAAAAGGGTCCCTATAGATGGCCATTCATACGAATACCCCCACCACTCGCTGGCCCAGTCCGAAATCCCCACCCCCGTTTTCGGGAAGGGTCTGGGGTAGGGCCTGGAAAACTTATTTAGTCAGGGTTCAGCAAAGTTTGATCACAACGCTCTATACAGCGTCGACGGTTAGTGAGTGGAGTATTAGCTGAAGCTCTGGTCGTCTCGAATCATCGTGTTTCGGTAGTAGATGACATATTCGAGAAAAGTGTTACATCGAGTGAAATACGTTCATTAGATGTATCCGTACATTTTGTTTGGAATTGGCAGTGACACGCAAGACTTGGAATACGTTAGTGATATTGTTGAATTACGTGTTGTGACATATGTGAAAATTGCACTTTCATCGGTTTTCTTCTAAATTTACAAAATTTCTGGATAATCTCTAGACTTGTAGATTTAATCGAAGTAGACAAAAAAGGCGAGTGTGTCAGTGCCATTGGAAAATAGTCATCCGCGACAATGGGGCGGCTTCTTTCGCATGGGGATGTGCTTTGTGACAAAGTTTCCCGGCCAGCAAAGTAATGCTAATTTCGTTATTGTGCCCGGGTGCAACAACGAGAAGCGTTACGGACCGTGTCTCACGTTCTCGCATCTTGTACGAAAGGCTTTTAGAAATGGCCGGGAAATATATTCCAGTAGAGGAAGGTGTCCCATTGTCGTGAAAAATTTGGGGAAACGGGGATTGAAAAAGCTATATATCAGTTTCGATTGAAACAGTTCTGGTCAACCAAAATAAACTCATAGCTGTCATTAAGCATTCCAGTTTGATTTCCATTCGATAAATGTTCTTTTTCAGTTCTGCAAGGAACGCAAATCATAACTGTTTTCAACCCCCGCGAAAAAGTTACCGTGAAAAAACGTCGGACTAAACTTTACTTCGGAACCATTTTTTTAAAAAACTTTATTACAACTTTTTTACTCTAACAAACCCAGCACTTCCCTATAGTTTTCGAAATAATCGGGAAAATGTCTTCTCTTAAAAAAGTGTAAACAAAAATGGTACCCTCCAAGTACAGTTTAGCCAACCGTCGTTCTTTTCAAGATTTGTAAAGCGTGTTGTTACGATTATTGTTATTAACGAATGTTATAAATTGTTATTGTAGGTGGAGGAATACGAAAGTTACACTTGCATGCGAAACGGCGTCGTGTCGGGACCGGAAGTACCGGCGGCAAAACTGTCGGACTCCAATACGAAGTTATACTCGCAATCAATTCAGAACAATTACCGAGAGGAAAACAGCTGGTGGGCGTTGGAGGAGAGCGGAGGTCAGGAGATAAGGGAGCGCGATAAGGGTGCAGCGGTGGCGGGTGAGCTGGCTTGCCTCGCGGGTTACATGGCGGGGTACTTGAAGGCGGCGGGTGCCACTTGCGGCCCGACCGGGAGTCCTCAGTACCACCCCCACAGTCATCCGGCAATGGGGGTCGGAACTCATCCACATCCGCATTCTCACCCGCATCCAGGCGCGCCTCACCCTGGACTGCCTTCACCGTTCGCCCTGGCGTCACATGGTCATCCGCATCCAATTCCCCTGGAGCATGGACTCGCGGCTTTTCCACAAGGTACGTTAACAACTATTTATCAACTACAGCGACGTCTCAATTAACGCTCGAAACATGTTTGTAAAAAAGGAAGCATCGACCGGTTGCATTATAATTTTATCAAAACCGCGCTCGACGGGATTATTCTATTGATTGTTGATTCCACCGTTCAAATCATGAAATGTGCGGCGCTCGTTTAGAATTTGGAAGAGAACGACTTGTATTGAGTCAAGCGTTAATTAATGCAGTGTTAAACGAGATTTCGCTGTGTATCGTTTTACGTAGAGATTTCAATGTCAAGGAGAAATAACTTCATATCACATTAAGTCTATTAAACTGCTGATCCAGCGGTAATTCATATGTAAATACAGTGACGATTTTTTAATCGTTACTCACTCGAGCAGAAGTAACTTAATTTCGTTCGCTTCTCTTTGGCATTGCAATTTTTCTGTACATTGGTAACTTTCCACAACTCGGTAGGCGGTTCGAACATTATGCAAATCGCGCCAATACTTTGCGGGCTGCCGTGGATAACGCGCGCGACAGGTACAGTCACGTTCCCGCAGGTAGACGCGTGGGGAAACAATCGTAAGGTGGCGATAGTTGTACAGGGTTGAAGATTTTGTATACAAAGCGAATGTATTTTCCCTTGTTTCGTACCGAGTGCGCTCCCTTGTTAACGAAACAGAAGTTTCAACGCTGACGCGATTCTGGCGCGGTTTCGACCTTTTAACCCAACGAAATGAACGTTCGACGCTGTGAGATATAGAATTTTCCTATCTTGATAAAAGGATATCCGACAACTTTGTAGCGATATTTACGAACACTCTGACACGGACAGATGAATGTCGAGTTACTTATTTTTGTTTACGTTGCCTTGAAATTTAAGTGAATCCATCGAATCGATTACAAACGAAAGATTAATGAGACTGAAATGGCATTCGATTGATTTATTCGCCAGGCACGAATATTTCGCGTCGCTTATTCCGCGATCAAGTTTCCGACCTCATCATTCTGCGGATGATGCATGTTCCTTGCATTTCACGAATCGCGCTGTACGTTATCTCGCAGTAAGAGTATTTGCTCTGTCCGCCATGGTAGCTATTATTGATTGTCATGCAAATCGATGCATCGACTGAAGCCATATGAGGCCGAAGTAAACTCGGGGCTTCTTAACTATAGTCAGCCAGTATCATTCTGCGGCGGACGTTCGAATGCATTTTTCTTCGCCGTTGCCTTTAAAGCACCGGCAGAATTTTCCACTCGAAAATATCGCTTACACTCAGATCGATCCGCGTCTCATAAGTTCTTCGTAAATTCTGGTCAGAGCCAGAGCTCTAAGACGCCTGTCGGGGGACACAATGCGTACCGCGAAATCCGATTCTTATAGAAATCGGGGCCGCAGTCCGTTTCTTTTCCTCCTCATTTATATAGATTTCTACGCGGCCACCGCTAATATATCTCTCCTCCCGAGAAAGTGAAACGTGTTCCCACGTCGCACTTTCGTCCCGAAGTTCGAGCTCTCGAACCCGTTCACAAAAATGCGGCTATCGGGCGAAAAAACCGCCCCCTGCACCGGT